GACCGTGCCGAATGGCGGCGCCGCGACGACCACGACGACGGTTCTCGTGCTGCAGGAGCTCGTCGCGACCGATCCGGCCGCCGCCGGTGCAGCTGCAGCCGCACAACAACTGACGCTTACCGCCGCCGCCGCTGCAGCGTCCTTTCGCGCTGGGTAAGTCAAGTTTTTCCGTTACGTTTCGCCAATTTTCCTCCTCGTATCCGCTCAACCAGTTGGCGCCAGATCTTTCGATCTTTATCGCGCACGTTATTATTCTCTTCGTCAATTGATTCGAATGATTAGATAACCTTCGGAATGAATATGACTGTTCTTATAAACCAAAAAGTATACACGCCTTCATCGTATTGATTCAGCGGAATCGTTGAATATTTATATCGTAATGCTAAATAACAGATTATTAATCTTGGTCGAGGAATTAATCGAAATGATGCATAAACAAAAGTTCTTATCTAACGGAAAGGATCAGCGTATGTATGCGGATAATATATATTTAACGGGAGCAATAATTTTCGTATTATATGTCATCTCGTAGCCTGATTTAATCTGTGTTCGCGAATATTTCTTGGATAATTGTATGCGATCGAGTATTAGGTATATCGTATGTTTACGTCGCAAGTCCCACGCGCATATTTCACATATAATTAAATCTATGCTGACCGTGTCACAGTCGTCGAATGACGTTGTATTCGAGACAGGTTGTAATTCATCCTTTCTCTGATTATTGACTCACGATGTCTCTCTTGCGGTTTGTCCTTTCCGCACAGCAGATGCGACCGCAACGTTACAAACGAAATGTGCGGACACGAAATACTGCAATGGGAACTTCGATGTTAATGTTTTTCATTAACGGATATATCTCCGGTATTTTCGCGAAGTATGTCAAAAAATATATATTGCTATGTGCATTCGCACATGAGATTATGAATACATTACATTGCGGCATAAACTGATTAATATCGTGTCGTTGGTTGGTGGTATAAAGATAACAGTAAGTAAAAAAGATTAATGAGAATGAATCACGTTTGTTTGTAACGTTGCGAAAGACATTGGGAGAAAAAGGCGTGATTGCCGGATACGCGCATACTTTCCTTCTGTCGAGATTGCCTGGAGATATTCAAAGTGATAATATATTAAAACGAGAGGACCCGAAGACGCGGCAAAGGTCATAACGAAAAAAAAAAAATGGAAGGATAAGCTAAATGTCAGCTTCGGAGCTTGTTACAGGCTCACAAATGAACGTAAAGGATTCAGTGCTTCGTTAGCGCGCGTATTTACGAGTGTACGACCGAAACGAGAGTAATAATTGCGGACTTTTACGAGTTACGCGAACCAATTCTATACCCTTCGCAAAGGAACTAAGTACTCGAAGGTCGGAAACTTACAGATGTAATTCGTCCAACTTAT